GTGATGTTAAGAAGTTTTTGTACTTATTAACTATTGGAATTTATACCTATTAACTCTTTTTTACTTATTAAATATTTGTGTTACTTTCTGGTAAATGATGTTCTATTCTGTTACCTACTTCTAGATCATGCTATTTGTCTTTCTGCTCTTGAAATTTGAAGTTTTCTACATGTTCTGGATGCCATTCCCTTCTCAAACATGTAGTTAGCAAATGTATTCTCCCATATTTTATATTATTTCTCCATTTTGATTTCCTGTGTTCACAAATGTTTTGTGTAGTTTTTTATTTTTGCTATTGTTTTAGTAATCCAGTGCCCATTGTCTATATTTGAAGAGCTTCATTTTCACACATTAAATAGGAGAACCAAGTTATATTTAATATCTTAAAAACTTACCATTCAAAACTGATTTGTAGCTTGGGGTGTTGTCCTTGCTCATTCTATGGTTCTGACTTATTTCTGGCATGCTTTCTTCTGCAAGTATTATATTTTGAGCTCTTATATTTAAGACTTCTATCCAATTGACTTGTATTTTGTGACTGATAAGAGAACTCTAATTCTAGAGTGTTCCTTTTATGCTCCTAGAGCTGGCTTGCACCCAGCTGGAGGCATTTTAATTGGTTGATTTTTGGTAGGTCAGAATCTGCTGAGGTGCTTACTCCTCTCCATTTTTGCCCCTCTAGCCTCTGCCTTTCCACAGCATTCCCTGTGAGGTTTTGTAAGGCAGACTGGCGGACTGTAAAATCACACAGCTAGATTATCTTGGTAGAAAATAGAGGTGGAGGGAGCAGGATGTGAGCTGCACCACTGAAAAAGGTACTGAGCCTCATGGCTAACATAGATCAGAACAATGGGTTAATCAAGATGTGAGAGTTAGCCAGTAAGTAGATTGACCTAAAAGGCCAATCAGCTTTATAACTTATAGAGATCTCTTGTGTGATTTTTCTCTGGGACTAAACAGCTGGGGGGCCGGGCAAGACAGAAAAACCCCCAACAAACAGGCCCCCTCATGTTACAGAAGGGTCTTGAGTTTTTTCCCCTCCATTCCCTGCTTTGAAGCCCATGCTAAATATACTTGCTAGTTCAAGTTTCAGGAAAAGTCATTTTGGAAAAAATATGAAGAAATCAGAACATGTGAAATGATTGAACTTCTTAAATTAAAGAAAGGACTATGGGTACTTTGCAATTTCATTTATGCCTTCTTCTCTTTTCCCTCATAATTCATTTTCAAGTCCCCAGTAAAGTTATTTTCAAAAGTAAGCTTGCTGACTTGTATAGATCTGGTGTTTGCTTAAGTTAAAAAAAAAGGTAAAAGCAAAAATTTCATGTTTGCACTAGACACTTTGGATCCTATATTATGCAAGTAATGTGGATAATCCTTACTCCGAGTGTCCTCTGAGTTGTCATACATATGTATCAATTAGTGCTTTCTTTCCCTTCACTTCTTCTGTTAATTTGTATTATATATTCTATACTAGATTTTTCTCACTTTTGTCAATTAGTGATGGTTTAGATTTTTGTAAATAATGTACAGTGTATCTTGTTAAGTTATCAAAGAAAACTGAAATACCTTTCTTTACATACTCTAGATCATTCAGAATATAGACATGAAGTTTGGGTTTTTTATGTAAATAAATTTTGAGTAGTAAGCCCCTGAAATCTCTAGGATAATTTAATTTTTCCTTTCAGTATGTGAGAGTGAAGCTATCTGTTAGAGTTCAGGGGAGAAGCCCTGTTTACACTACTTCAGACATCACTATCAAGAGTAGAAAAGAGTTGCTGCAGCTTAGAATTTTAGAACTTAATGCATGTAAAATCTTCTCTAGCCTAGTTGATTTATTGTAGAGAGAGTCATTTCAGTGACTTTTCCATTTAATTTATGACAAATCGAAGTAGTTGATGTACAGTTACAAGCTATTAGTTCTTACTTAAGCTGTTCAAGAATAAGGGCCAGAGACATTTGCTCTCCATATCAGCTGCTTTTTGGTTTTTTTGAAACCTATTAGCTCATAATTTTTGACAGGTTTTTGCAGACTTAGAAATATATATCTCTTAAGTCATCATTTTCCTTGATTTCCATTACACAATTATTAATAATTTTTAGTTTGTTTAATTTTATTCTAAATACTTTTTATAAAATCACATTAACCTTTTTATCTTTACAAAATATTTTATTTCTTCTGCCAGAAAAAAAATAAATCTTCCTGTCTCACTTTAGATGATTACCGGGAAGTCAGAATCCCTTTAAATGAAGCACTTTGATAGTGCTCGTAGCAACTAAATGACTGCAGATCATTCACCCAGACTTATTAGACAAATAGGTCCTATGAAGCTATCTTGCTAGCTGGTTGCATAGAGGAAACCAAATAAGACTCAAAAGAAAATCCTGGCAATCGTGAACCATTTTTCTGGAAAAAAAAAATCAGGCATTGATCTTTAGCATCACAGTGGACACCTTTCTTTCCAACATACTACCAACTTTTCATTTTTTCAAAATGTTTTTACTGATTTTCACTATACATGTGTGGTGGTTTGAATGAAAAAGGCCCTTATACGATGATATGTCTGAATGCATCCTGCCTGGTTAGCGAAACTACTGGGGAAGGATTGGGAGGTGTGGCTCTTAGAAAAGAGTAGATGTGTCCTTGTTGGAGGAGGTGAGTCACTGAGAGTGATAGAATCTTCAAAAGTCACGGACAGGCCCAGTGTAGTTTTTTCTATGCCTGCTGCCTGTGAATCAGGATGTAAAACTCTCAGTTACTGTTCCAGTGCTATGCCTGCCTGCTTCCTGCCGTGATTACATGAACTGACCTTCCAAAACATTAAGCATAGCCCCAGTTAAGTGTTTTCTTTCATAAGAGTTGCCTTGTTCATCATGTCTGTTCATGGCAATAGAACAGAAGCTGAGATAACAGGCTTTGTCTTGGTACAATTATAAAGATTAACATCATGATCTCATTTATAAAGAGGGTTTTACAATCCTTCTCACAGATAAATCTGTAGAATAGGTACTTTCATTTTGTATATCCCAATCAGATACTTTTTAACAGTAGGCTGCAATGAGCGCTATTCTCTTTTCAGAATTTGTATTGTATTTCATATCAAACCTAGATATGATATTTCTATACTTCTTCTTTGCTTAAATGTAGTCATTGTGGTCATTTTATAGAGCACAGTGAGCATGCAGTATGTTCAGGTCAAGCTGAACATACATCACTTCTGGTCAATGTTCTGCACCAAGACTAATCCCCCTACAGGACAGCTCATGCTACGTTGCCTTCTGTAGCTTTGTAGAGCGCATATAATTTCCAGACACTGAGTTAGGGGCCAGATAACAGATGTCTGGGAAGGTGCCAAATTTGGCTGGCCACAGATAAGCTTGCTGAAGATGTATAATCTAGTATCTAGGTCTTGACTTAGTCTCTTATCTGTCACACAAGAAAGACTGGTGTTTGTTCTACTCTCGGTATGATCGAATCATTCACGGACTGAGTGATTTCAATTACTTTTCCAAACAAAATCCTATGAAATGGGCTTTTGTCCATTTTCAAAGTCTAAAATGACTTGTTACATGAGAGTTCCTGGTAAATTAAAATGACTCCATATATATTGGTTAAAAAGAATATTTTGGATAGTAATGTTTCTTTATTTAAACTGTTTTCTAGTCAAAAAGTACTTCCAGACCATGTCAAAAATATATTTTAGAATTTGTTTTATAAAATATGAATATTTTTAAATCTTTATTTCATTAGTATTTATTTAGCACTGTACTATAAATTAACACTCATGGATGTGATTTGAAAGCATCACATACTTGAGATCATGAAGAATATCAAGACCTCAAGTGAGATGGTTTTCTCCTGCTTTTTTCTTCCTCTGGCCCCCACAACAGTCCATACATAGGAAAGCAATGGGAGGAGCCAGAGAAAGTCTGCTTCCCTGAAGCCTGGTTGCACTGCCTTTTACAGATGATCTCGAGAATATATAAGACCATCTTATATAACTTAAGGATGATCCAGTGTTGTGCCTAAATGTTGTATAGGAGTAAATAAAAATGGTTTTGCTCTCTCCCTCAAGCTGTCCTGTCCTTCAGGAGAGAGCTGCACTTCGTTTCACGCAAATCCTGTCACTGGAATTTCTGTGCTGAGCCTGTCACACCACTCCTCAGTGTCAGAAAGCCCTGATCCCTTTTATCTGCTGCTCCATGTCCCTCAAAAATGCCTTTCTGAAGGCTAATCCAAGTTTTACAAGGTTGGGGACTTCCGTCTTACTGCCAATCACATTAGAAGTTGTCAGTAAGTGTGCTTGACACCATAAGTGCTAAGCCAATTAAATCATTTTCTTTTTCTTCAATATGATTTCTCTCTCAGCACTTCTGGGCATCTGGCCTCCCCCAGCAAGTAGCCCAGATGCACGCCAATTTAAAGGCCTGTTTTAAAGGGTGTTTCTTTCTTAGTCATGTTGGCCTTTGACTATTTATGTTGTTGATTTTGCTGTTGATGTTAATTTTTGCTGCTTCTGTCTGGTAAGCTAATTTCAAGGACACAGATATATATATAACGCTTTGTTCTTCATTCCTGTCTTTCATCATTTCCTAGATATTCTTCTCTTCCACTCTTCCAATACCTTCATTCTTCAGACAGTTTCTACAATCCCACCTTTGCCTGGATGCCATCGAAGAAAATATTTAAAACTCCCTTGCTATCTCTGGTTTATACACAACTGTGGAGAGCATGTTTGGATTTGCCTTTAATTATGTACATGACTGAGACGTTGATGTCCATTATCCTAGACTGACATGGAGATTGCCAAGTTACATAACTGCATAGATTCTGTTTTTATTTGTATGCATTATCATACTTTAGAAATGACACATGTATTTATGCATTTTTAAGTGATGTGCTTAATGCTTCCCATTTTCTTTGCTTGCTACTAAAACTAAAGCAATTTTATAATCTTTATTAGTTTTCTAAAGCTAACTCATATTTTTGTCTTTAACAGGTCATTGCCATAGTCATGGATATGTTCACTGATGTGGATATTTTCAAAGAAATAGTAGAGGCATCAACCCGAGGCATATCTGTATATATTTTACTTGATGAGTCCAATTTTAATCATTTTCTAACTATGACTGAAAAACAGGGTTGTCAAATTCAACGTCTCAGGGTAAGAATTCATTTTTTTATTCAAATACTTTGCTTACTGTTTTCATTCTATACAAATTTAAGTCATGTTAAGATAAATCAGCCAAAAATAATTGAAAGAAAAAGACAAAACAATGGAGACAGAGTGATGTTTGGAGTAAGATTGGAAGGCCTGTCTGTTCTGGAATGTGCTTCTTGAGAGGATGCCTGGATGCTCTTCGGAGTTATTTGCCAGCAGCAATGGTTAGTGACTCTGTCTCATATATACAACTCTGAAACCTCTGGCAGGTGATCCTGTAATCTGATATGTCAAATCACTTGAATTAGTGCTTTCCTTGACATTTGACTTATTTCAAGATTTTTGTGCTATTATAGTTGGAAAGTATTTCTCATAGTGAAATCTAGTATTGTTTATGAAATAATTCCATGTAAACAGAAAATATGTTCATTTAAGCTGTGTCAAAAATATTTTGGAATGGTTCTCTTTCTTGAGTATTTAATTGTAGGAAAATGTTTGCAATTTTCTTTAATGAATTTTTATGTGTTTTAAAAGTTTGTTTCAATTAATTGTTTTGGTGCCAGGCAGTAGTGGCCCACACCTTTAAACCTAGAGGCAAAAGCAAGTAGATCTCTGTGAGTTCAAGACCAGCCTGGTCAACAAAATGAATTCCAGGACAGTCAGAACTGTTACACAGAGACACACTGTCTCAAATCAATCAGTCAATCAATGCAATGTCTTTGATGTGTTCACACTGTTATTTATTTGCTTTTCAAAATGTCTCACTTCTAGATGTAATTTTACTTTATGTTTGCATATAATTGTAGAACATTCGAGTACGGACAGTAAGAGGCCAAGATTATCTGTCAAAAACAGGAGCAAAATTTCACGGGAAAATGGAACAGAAATTTTTGTTGGTTGACTGCCAGAAAGTGATGTACGGTTCTTACAGGTAAGAATATAGTGTTTATTTTACTCATTTTCATACTTTCAAATAAGTTACTACATTGAAATTTTAGCAGAATCAACTTAACTGTATCTTAGAACCAAGGAAAAAGAGACTGGAGAGATCCTTGAACACTTGTTACTCTTATAGAGGACCTGAGTTTGGTTCCAAGCACCTACCATAGAAGGCTCACAACCACCATTAACTCCAGCCAAGACAGTGATCTAGACCCCCTTCTGGCCTCTTTTAGAACTGCACTCCAATTTAGAAACCCACACATGGATACATACACATAATTATAATTTATTTTGAAATCCGTTTTAAAATTAGAAAAGTTCAGAATCTATAGCATGGAGATTTGGAGACATGGGCCTTGCTAACATCTTCTTGTGACTTAGGCTGTAACTTGGCTTCAGGTTCTTCATCAAGGCAGTAAGGGTTTTAGCTAACATTTAAGATGCCTTGCAACTCTAAAATAAACAAAGTGGACTAACTCCTACAAGGGTAATGCATACTATGAATTAAGAAATAATCACTTAAGCCAGTTTGGGTAGTATATGCCTGTAATTTCAGCATGCAGGAGGATTGCCACAAGTTTAGTGGCAGCCTGGTCTACATAGTGAATTCAAGTTTAGCTGGGGTTATAGCAAGATCCTGTCTCAAATAACAAGACAAGAGCTGGAGTGATTACTTAGCCCATAAGGGTGTTTATTTCTAATCCTGATGCTTTGCGTTTGATCCCTAATACTCCCATGATAGAATCAATACTCTGATATCCATATATACACTGTGACACATGCATACACATGCATGCACGTGCACACACACAAACACACACACACATGCACATACACATGAACAAAATAAATAATGAATAAAATAAATATCAGACACCTATAGAAACACAAAAGATACGTAAAATCGTTGCTCAAAAGAAAATTAGATTTTAATGCTTTGAAAAGTCCACCAGGAGATGTTCCTCTATGATTGTTCAATATCTGAGAAAATCAGAATCATGACCTATGTTGGTCAGGTGTAGTGTGAAGAGAGGCTGCTTGTTGGTTCCCAGCCACTTAGAAACTATATTATTTAAAAACACTGCTTGGCCAATTACTTATGCGTATTGCTAGCTAGCTCTTACATCTAGAATTAACCTTTATTTTATATTTCACCACGAGGCTTGTGGCTTGCCGGCAAGGTTTCAGCATCTGTCTCTGGCAGGGCTACATGGCTTATCTTCCTGTCTTCCTTCTCCCAGCATTCCCTTTAATTTTCTCCGCCTACCTAAGTTCTGCCTTATCAATAGGCCAAACCAGTTTCTTTATTCATTAATGGTAATCACAGCATACAGAGGGAAATCCCACATCAGTCGGGCTGATCTGAAGTGAAGGCATTGGCTAGTAATTGCTCAATAATATTCGATAATGCATTATTTCTGAATTTGATACCATTTGATATAATTTGTTTTTATATAAACAGGCAAATAATAACTCCAGGAAATGCTTCTAAAGTGCAGGTCACTAAGTTATTATAGGCCTATCATAGAAGACATTGGCATGACTCCAGAGAGCTATGGAAGGGAACAGACCAGAGCAACAAAACCTTTGCACTTTGATAAATCTAAACATCAATAAAAAAAAATAACCTTGAAGTCCTGCGCAAATGACTCAACTTGCACTTTTCTTTGTTTATATGAAATTAGCATAATCGTGGGACACACTACATGGCCTATCTGTGCAATTTCACCTTCCAAACAATAATGTTAACTATTATTTTAGGACTGTCTTTTAATCATTATTTTCTGCTTGTGTTTGCTGTAGGCTCAGGGAACTCCCCCTCCTTTAAAGCTGTTTGGTGTTCCAAATGAAATCTTGTAAAGACCAGAAATTATAGCTAGTACTTGAAATTAATGAGTCATTTTAAAGTATCATTATATGTATATATTTGTTCAGAAATACTTAATCTTAAAGAGTTTTTAATTGAGTTTTTAATTAAGATAGATTTTAATTACACATGGTATTTCTTATTTAAGTACATCCAGTTGCTCTATTTTCACCCTTTGACATGATGTTTAACAATATTTTTAATACTGAATTTGCCTCTTTTTTGCGCCAATTGGAATTGATAGTGAAATGCTTTGATGATTGGAGCTGAGCTACTTAGGTTGATATGGGTAATTAATTAAATAATTGATTAAATGTACTTAAATTTTTAAAAAAGAAAAGAATAACCAAACCAAGCTAAACCAAATCTAGAAAGTCCTTTTAACCCCAGATCATGGTGAGGAGTGGAGGAGAATATAGAGTCTCTAAGAGCAGAGAAACCCTTTTCTAGTAAGTCCATTATCTATATTATTTCAAGAACCTTTTAAATACACTTATTTTAAAAATCATCAGTTGTCAGTCATTGTCATTTTATTTTCCATTTTCCCTGTATCATTTGTTGTACTGACAACTGTTATATAGTACACTCGAGTGTATTTTGTGCGTGGATTGTCTCCTGCCTGGACCCTCACCCTCCCTTAAATCATTCCTCACCTGTTTGTTTTTTTAAATGATTTTTAATTTCTTTTACTTTTTGAGATTATTCAAAATTACAACACTTTCCCCATCCTGTTCCTCCCTTCAAACCCTTCCATACACCCTTCCTTGCTCCCTTTCAAATTCATGGCCCCTTTTAAACAAATTACTTGTTATTACATGCACATATGTGTAGGTACATGTGTACTACATAAATATAACCTGCTCAGTCTATGTATTGTTACTCAGATATGTGTTTTCAGAGCTGAACTTGAGTAACCAATTGGTGTGCTCTTCCCTGGGGAAGGCGGTTCCATCTCAGCATTCCTTAATTACCTGTAATACTGTGTAGGGTTGAAGCCTCATGGGCTTTGCCTCATCCATTTTAGCCTGTCTATTGCTGATCTCGTTCACCTCCTGCTGAACCAAGCTCAGGTCTCCTAGGTGAACAGTAAGGATGCTTAACTGCTAAGCCGTCTCTCCTGTCCTCTTTGGCTGAGTTTCATATTGTAAAAAATATTCTAAAAGTTCTTCTATAATAGTTAGGAACCACGTTGGTCAAAGCCTAGTTCTTTCTATGTAACATGAAGGCTGGCTTGTTGGGGTTTATGTCCTGCCCAGTTCCCCACAGCCGGCAAGCCCCAAAGAAAATCACACAGAGCTCTCCATAAGTTATAAAACTGATTGGCCCATTAGCTCAGTCTTCTTATTAGCTCTTGTAGCTTATATTAACCCATTGTTCTTATCTATGCTAGCCATACGGCTTGGTACCTTTAATAGCTGGGCAGGTTACATCTTGCTTCTTGGTGGTCTGGGCAGGAATGCGGAGGGAGCTTCCTGCTTCCCAGAAGATTCCCATTCTCGTTGTCCCGCCTCTACTCCCTGTCTGGTTGACCCTCCTATACCTCCTGCCTGGCCAATCAGAATTTATTTAAAACATGATTGACACAATACAGACAATTCTCCCATACCATTTCTAGTTAAAGGAACTTGAGTGCCTTATACTACAGTGTATTATTTTCTCATTTTCCTTTTGTACCCTGGTATTTGTTTCTTGTTTTCTCCTTGTTTACTTCCATTTTCTCATTTCCTTTCCTTTTCTCCTTTTCTTTCTTAAGTTCTTTCTATTTATCTCTCCCCCCCACCCCGTTTTTAGACAAAGCATTACTTTATTGCCCAGGTTGCCTGTGAACTAGCAAACTAGCTATCCACTCTAGGTTGTCCTTAAATTGCCAGTTTTCTAGATCTTGCCTGGTCAGTGTTGAGATTACAGGTGTGTACCGCCACATTCAGCTGAAAAGTCTTTTTTAATTGATAACCCCTCCCATGGAAGCCATTGAGTTCTAAAGACTGATTGTTTGTAGAGATGCATAGAATCTGCAATTGTCACAGCCAGACGCATTCAACAGCTCACAGAATGATGGCTCATCAGGAAAACACAAGCATTTACTAGATAAAACACACATATTTTATAGTCAATGAGTACGAATAGCTTTTTTAACTTGGTATCCCCCTCTCTGAAATGTTAAGGAATATTTTGGAGATATTTCTAAGGTATTTTAAATAAATTAAACTCAGAAAGGTTTTTGTTTGTTATAGACAGGACCCCCAACTTGAGGTCCTCCTTTGTCTTTTTGTCTGCTGACTATTAGGTTTGCAGATGTGAGCCTCTAAGCTCCACCAAAAAAGAACCATTGTAAGCTCTTACTTTGTGAAGATTATGACCTCTACAAAATTTATAAGACTTTCACTAAAGTTGGTGTCTCTCAAGGTGCCATTTTTAGTCAGGCATGAAGATGGTCAACTCTGAGATTCATGTTACAACCAATATACTCCTACTACATGAATCTCATGGCCTTTACTTTTTAACTCCCTGCCAGGAGCCCAACATCTTAAGTCACTTTTGGTATGTGAATTAATAACTTCACCCATGACTGATGTATGATGTTCTGTTAGGAGGGAGAAAGTGTTTTTAACCCAAGTTAAATATAATAAATATAAATAATATATAATAGAAATATAAATAAATAAATATCAAAAAATAATAAAATAAATATAAATAATATGTTTATATTTTAAAAAATATATAATATATTTCAAAAGGTAAATAATATTAAAAGATATGCAGTCCAAAGTATAATTGCTATTTTCTTGCTTTAGCTGCTCTTCATCATGGCCTTCAGATGCAGTTACACATTTCTCCTCGCTAGGTTTTCTGATACAGATTCCAATCTCCTAAATTGTCTCATTAGATTGATTTTCCAATCCAATTTTTCCAATCCAATTTCTGTTACTATCTCTCCCTGTTTCATTGTGACTGAGGTGTATTTCTCACCCACCCATGGGTGTCCACTTTCCTTTCCTGTCCCCACTCTTCCAGCAGAGTATTATCACCAAATTCTCCTACATGAGAAGTCCAGGTTTACATCATCAAAACTAAGTCAAAACTGAGCATGGGTGAATTGCTTCATTTTTCATCACAAAATTAATAGCCGTTTCATTTTTCTTCCATGTATGTGCACATGTGTTAGCAAGCTATGTGCAGTTTCATTGGTAAGGCAAAAACCCTCCTTTCCTCCAGTGTCTTCCTGTTTCCTGGTTTTGGGGTGTGTGTGTGTGTGTGTGTGTGTGTGTGTGTGTGTGTGTGTGTGTG